TAATAATGAATTATATATATATATATTTATGTATATTTTATAATAATATTTAAAAAAAATATATATATAATTATAATATAATTATAATAATATTTATATTTATAATTATATAATACTAGAGGTGCCCCGTTACGCGTTGCTGCGGCTCAAATAATTCGTAATAAAATAATATTGCAATTATAAATTAAGATATAAACTATTCTATCTTTCAAGTTGGATAAAACTGCACACAGTGTACAAAATTTGATTAAAATCGGTTCAGTAGTTTAGCAGTCCATTGCGGACAAACAACGTGACACGTAATTTATATATATATATATTAAGAAGATATTTATTATATGGATTATATATTATTAATTAAATACAATATTTAAGAAGAGAAAAAAAAAGATGAAACAATATACAATAAATCAATAAAAATGATTAGTCTAACGTTTAAATTTGGATTTTTGATTTTGATTTGTTACAGAACAACGAAATGGAAAATTTACGACTTTCGTTGATGTCATCTGGTTTTTCGAGCAACAACACAAACAGCAATAGCGAGGATATAGTGGGTTCATTGATACCAGCATCCTTTAGAGAAACGACGTTATGGGTGACAGTTGTATTATACCTTGGCTGGACTCTCATCTCTCGTCTACGATAAGTCATAAAGCTTTCAACACGCCTAATCATCATCCCAGAGTATCATCGCATTTGACAAGATTTGGGGGATCACATTATCATCGTTTAACATCAGCAAACATAAAAATCTAATGGAAAAGCACCAACAACAACAACATCAACGACATCAGAAGAGAGAAAATATTTGGAAGAGGAGAAGGAGAAGGAGGTGGAGGAGGAGAAGGAGGAGAGGTAGAGGAAAGGATATTTTGAAGTTTTTGGAAATAGAGTTGAATGGGAGGAGAATTTTTGAAATTATTTTAACAATTTAATTTCATTTGGATTGTTTCAATTAATTTTTTCTTTTCTTTGATTTTTTTTTAATATTTTAATTATACCAAAAAGAAAAACATATATTCTCCTTCAAACTCTATTTCCATTTATTTGCTTTTCCTAAGCTTTCATATATCTATATATATATATTTTTTTCTTTTTTTTATTACCTTTTTTTTTTTTTAATTATAAGTGATCGCACTAATAATCCGATCTCTTGTTGCACACAAAAAGAAAAAAGGTATAATATGAAAGTTAAACGAAGATTATAAGTGAGAGAGAGTGATATTTTTCTTGCTCTAAAAAAGAAGCAAAAAAAAAAAAAAGATACGAAGACAAAAAAAAAACGAGACCGATCCCACAATTCTAATTACCATCATTGCTATATTATTATTATAGTATTAATATGATTATTATTGTTCCGATGTGTAACATCCGACTTGCTATCGCATTCCTTTTTTTTTTTACAAAAACAAAAAAAAAACAAAAAAAAAAAATTACTTTCGAAACGAACATGGTGTTTTTTTTTTTTTTTTTTAATATTCGTTAGTTTTGTGGTTTTCTCGATGAGATTAGTACTCGTCTTCCTTTTATTTTTTAAATGATTTAGGAAAAAAAAAATTAAAAATAAAAAAAAAGGAAAAAAAAATCAGAAGATTAAGAAGAAAAAAAAAGATTGAAAAATAAAATAAATAAGAATGCAAAAAAAAAAAAACAAATCAAAAGGGAAGACAAAATTGCAGATTGTTAATTAAATGAGGATTGGGTTGTCTTTTGATACGAAAAAAAAAATATCTTTTTTTTTGGTTTAAATTATTTTTAACTTTGTAACAATTATAAAAAATATAAATAATAATCTCATCGAGTTATGTATAATTATTAATTAATAATTATAATTAATATATACATATATATGTATATTATCTTATTATTATTATAATAATAAGATATATATTTTGATTATTATTACAATAATTTTTTTCTTTTGTTTATAACATTAGAAAAAAAAAAAAAAAGAAAAGAAACTTTTGATAAAAACACCATGGAACGTTTATGGTTGAATAAATAAAATAGGGAAGATGATAGCACATTGGAGAAAAGAGCATTGGTATTTTGCGATACGATTCATTCTCTCGCCCTTTTGCACCCTTCCGAAGGTGTAACTAATAAAAAAAAAAAAAAGAGAGAGAGAGAGAGATAGAAAGTGAGTGACTTGCGAAAGATATGAAGGACGGTTTTGATGATTCGTGCGATGGTTTTTTTTTTTGATATAAAAAAAAAAAAAAACAATCATTTAAAGAAATGATGAATGAGAGAGAGGGAGAGTATGATTTTAATGAAAGGATTATTTGCAAAGGGCGAGAGAAGTGAAATGAGAGGTTAAAAAGGGTGTGATGGGGAAGCTTGAAAAAGGACGAGATCCAAAGAGGAACCTAAAAATCAAACGATGATCTCATTACGAATAAAAAAAATAAAAAAGAGAAGAGTTAAATAGAAAGTAGTGTGATTATCGTGGGCGAAGGGGGAGAGGAACTTGATCTTCTTTTTTATTTTGTTTATTATTATTACTATTATTATTATTATTTTTATTTTTTATTATTATTATTATTATTATTATTATTATTACTATTATTATTACTATTATTATTATAATCTGTGTGTGTGATTTTTTTTTTGTCTCTTTTTTTCTTACATTTTTTCTTCGGATTTTTAATTCTCTCTATCCACCCATTTTATTTACTTCGTAGTACTATTTCTCTTCTTCTTCTTCTTCTTCTTCTTCTTTTTCTTCATCTTTTTTCTTCTTCTTCTTCTTCTTCTTTTTTCTTCTTATTTTTTTTTTTTGATTTTTCTATTCAACGAATAACATCATTTTTTTTTTTTTACAGTGATCTTAGTAATAGTAAAAAAAAAAAAAAACACGCTGTTATTCAAACGAATTGTTGTTCAAAGCATTTTGAATTATTTTATTTATTAGGCGCATTTCGTGAAAAAAAAAACGACCAATCATTTTTGTATTTCTTTTTTCTTTTTTTTTTTTTTGTATTTTGGTAATTTTTTTTTTTTTATTCTTTTTCATTTTACATTTGTAATAACATAGAAATTATTCTTTGAATATAATTTTTCGAAATTATAAATATATATATATCTCATGAAATGTTTATTAATATTTACGATCTAACGTTTATTTCAATAATATCTTTTTTTTTTTTTTTCATTCGTCTTCTTTTCATATAAATTTTCTATTATTTTTTATTTTTTATTTTTTTTTTTTAATTTTTATTTTTATAATAACGTAAAATTAGTCTTTTGAATAGAATTTTGAATACCATGAAATTCCATTTGACATAGAAATAAAATGTCTGACGTTTTATCTTTGAAATTTACATTGTTTTATAAAATTCAATGAAATTGATAATTAATTAAATAATACTATAAAATAATAATTTAATAATTTTCTAACGTGTGGAGATGATATATACTTCATAGAATCAAAAACAGTTTTTGACATTTTGGATACGTCAAAGTTTACAATGGCAAATGTAAATAAATTACATTTCTCAAACGTCATTTTATGTCAAAGGTTTAAATATTAATATCCATGAGATTAACATTGATCGAACGTTTATTTTCATATTTTTCAATAATATTTCTATTCTTCATTCATCATTGGTTGTTAAACGGAAAAAAAAAAGAAAATAATTCAATCATAATAACAACAATATTTTATTTCATTTTTTTTAAATTTCTTTTTTATTATAAATATTGACAAGATTCAATCATGTGAACAATAATAAACAAAACAAATTGCTTTGACAAAGTTTTTTTTTTTTTTACTGTAAATATAATGAAAGGTTTAATATCTGGGTTAGTCCGGGAAAATTTTGGAATATTTTTGAAAATGAAGGAAAGAATGAAGAAAGAAATGAAGGAAGGAAGGAAGGAAGGATGAATGGTTTAAAAGTAGGAAAGAGATGGACAGTAAAGAAAGTATAATAAAGATAAAGATAGAGATAGTGATAGCGACAGTGATAACTAGAAACAGAAAGAAAGAGAGAGAGAGAGAGAGAGAGAGAGAGAGAGAGAGAGAAAGAGTAAATGAATGAGAATGAGAGTGAGTTAGTTAGAAAGAAAATGATGGGAAGATTTTTTTTTTTTTTTTTTTTTTTTAAAGAACATAAAAACCGGACATAGTGAAGTAATAAACATTTTGATGTTTATTCGATTTTGAGGGAGAAGGAAAGAATAATAATGCGTGTTTTAATAAAAACGTAGGAAATTAATTCGGTGTGCCTTAAATTCAAATGAAAATAATTTAATAATTAATTACATAATAATAATAATAATAATAATAATTATAAATAATAAATCATAAATTTGGATGATTCTTTCTTTTTTTCCCATTTTTATTTATTTATTTATTTTTATTTTT